TAATAGAATTTAATTTATATATTTTTAAAACTCTTTTTTCAATTTCCAAAAACTTGCTTTTGAAACTCTTGCTTTGGGCATTTTGCACACTGTTATTATTCTGTTAACACATGCTCATCTCTGATCGGTACTGTTAACGACATTAACTTTAACAGCGATTGATAATTACTACGCTGTCAAGCAGTGCTCACTGAAGAGCACGCTGCGTATACGTCATGGCAAGCAGTGCAAAAGAACACACATATGCGAGTAAGAAAGCCTATGAAAAAGTTTGTTTCACAATAGTTCAAAAACAATTAATTAGCGTTGAATACAAGCACATGTGTGTGTGTAGATGTGCATATGCAAATAAACATATACATATATGCTACATATACATATGCCCACATCGCTTATTAAAGGCGCGTCGCTTCTGTAAACAAAAACCATTTGGCTGTTGAAATAAAATTGAAATAAATTTAAGCGTTGGATCAGCAGGCGGTACAAGTTGTATATATACACATACAAACATACATGCGGTATGATATAAAGATAACTGTCCATGTATGTCTACATATTTCAGACATTTTTTTTTTTTTTTTGCTCTCTTCTTTGCTCAGGCCTCAATTAAAATCGAGCTGGCGTTTGCCGCCTTTATAATAAATTATAGCAAATAATTGGCAAAAATTGTGAGTAATTATTACATATATATATACAACATGCTGTATTGCTGTAGGCTAGCACGAGAGAGGGTAGCACGAGCAACAATTTTAATTTAACAACTGTTTAATCCATTTATAAGTGTATCAGAATTTAACGATTGTGCTAACTACATTTTTATATCCAGCTATATAATTATTTACATCTGCTGCTAATACTACTAAAGTGCTTAGCCCTGTTTTGTTTTTTGTATATACTGAAAAAATGTTTTGCGTTTTTTAACCAATTTAAGATAAAATAAAAGCAACAGCTGCTTTCAACGATTGTTCATATCTTAGCGATTGTTTCTCTTCTCCATAAGGCAGAAGAGAGTTTTAAAAATCAAAAGCGAAACAATCAAAGCGAAAACTAGTTTGTGGCGCTCGCAGCCAAGTTACAATAGACTGGTTTTCTGTGATTGAGAGGGGTTGTGACGATCAGGGTCTACAGTTGAACGTACGATCGTGAGAGCTCTTCAATATTTACACACGCTGATAGTGCAAACAGATATACATATAACTATATGTATATATACATAAATTTATGGATCTTGTCACGATACCTTAACTTGAAAAGCATGAAGTGTGCACGTTTTTTCAGCATTGCGAATTGTTTTTCTTTCATTTCACATACAATTAGCGTAACCCTAAAAATTCATAGCACACGACTACGGCCAATTAATGATTAATAATTAAATTAGTTTGAGCTTTTGGGCAGTGACAATACGCAGCCAATAGGAATTTGTCACTTATACTATATTTACAAAATGGAAGCCTAAGTTCGTGTAAAGGGAGTACTCAAATCCGCCCACAAGTGCGACCCCAAATAAGGGGCGTAATATACGTATATTATATATGTAGTTTTAAAATTTCAATTAAAAGTTCAGTGCGACAACTGAAATCTATATCTATATGTATTATTGAGCGTTAATTGTGTTCATTGCTTAAACATTGCAAAAAGAGTTCAAACGTTAGCCTATTATTAATATTAAAAAATAAGTATTTTAAAATTATTTTAATATTACAATTTATATGAATGTGATTCACTTCACTAAAAAATTAAATTTAAATTAAAACCTTATAACTATAGCTTTTTTATTGCTTTCAGTTAAATTTATTAATTATTTATTTAATTTAATTTTTTTAATTTAGGTAGGCCTTCAGGATTTACTTACGTACTCAAAATTCTCCATTTTATTATATTTATATGTATCAGTGAGCTCTTTTAAGGAGCGTTCAGAGTGTATGCTTATATCGTAACATTCGAATGTCATACCTCCCATCCCATAAAGTTTATATATTCATATATATTCCCTATCAAGATTAACAGCTGGGTTGACTTAGCACTGTTTGCTCATCTTAGAAAGTATGTCTCGATATATGTATGTAAGTTGTTATGTGACCTAAAATTAGATCATACTCTAACACACAAAATAATTTTGAACCGTGTATTTTGTTTTTATCTCTCTCAGTCAAAGATCTCTAATCTTTGACTTCGCCTTACTTTTTCTTATTTATTTTTTTAGACCTGTGCACCTGAACTATCTTTCATTTCATTTCCCATTTAATTCTGCGTATATTTACTATTTATTTATAGATACTTTCAAATATATACCATTTTATCAGCAAGGTCTGCTGACAAGCACATAGACCTTATCTTTGCTGCCACGGGTCTAGCTCTAATGCACTCGCTGGCACTCTCTTTTCTTATCTCCCTGTCTAACTTTGTTTATCTTTCATTCATTTATTAATTCTGCTTTTGATTTATATGTATACGTTTTTTATACTTATGCTCTGTTTGATCCTCAACTATTTCACAAGACCCTCAATAAATAATAGTTAAATTACAAACACAATTTAAATGCTGTCTCCAAATTAAAAAAAAAAAAAAAAACTCTCTCACTTTACTTAAAATATGCACACCTCGACTCAATTAATTGCCAGTTAGCTGCTATTAGTGTTCATTAAAAGAACAGCTCAGGTGTAAACAAAACAAAGGTGTTTACTGGCCTGTCAAGAAGATGCAAATAAATTGCCAAACAGATGGAATAAGCTCAAATTGACGGAACGCTAAGTGATGCCTATTACCAGCTGTTGCACATATA